GACTTTAATTAATTAATTTAATTAACTTTTTTACTTACATTTTCAGCAGCGTCCAAATCTTTTATGTTATTTATATAAATATCACCTAGGAGGATTAATCCTTTAACGTGGTCCGGGTGAAATCTAACTAATTGGTTTAAAAATGGAGCAGCTTCAAGGGGACGTTGTTCGTCCGCTAGCAAGAGAGCCAAATTAAATAATGCAGAACGGAAATCCTCTTTGAGAGCAACGGCATTGCGAAACCATCGTTCTGCGCTACCGCTGTCGTGATCGTCCATAGCCAGCATTCCAAGATTGAAATGAACCCGTTCGTTATTAGAGTCCTAAAAGTAAGCGTCGATATGTTTATGATAGGAAGAAATATTTTGAAATATTATCTGCCCATTCGATTGAGAACACGTTCGAGACGAAGCCGAATTTGATATGCCTTCCGTTCGGCCAGCGGAGAGTACTTCGTTATTTGACTGCACAGACTATAAACACAAGATAACGCTACAGAAATTCTATTTCACTTTATTACCACATTTACATGCAAGATTGAATCTGGATCGATTGCGTATAAATGTAAATCAACTGAATTTAGATCCAACCGATCCGATTTCACTGGACTGGCTGGATCGAATTTGGGATTTGTGTTGTTTTACTCTGATTTATCACGTTTCGATTCGTTGTGAGCTCCATCTCTCAATGCTGTGTACTCACATGCGCAGATCGAGAACTCGATCCTGCACATAAACATAATACATGTTTAGACTATGGAGAGATTTCTTTATCATTTCTCCGATGTTGACACGGTTAGTTTAGATAAAACCATGAAAGAGTGGGACCGGCACTGTCTCGAACGTGTTAATGTAAAAAAGAGAAATACTTTTCGCAAAAGTTTCAGCAGTCTTTCTCTGGCCACTTTCCGCAATTCAGCACGACCTAACTCTTGAAGCAAAATTGCTGAATTGAGTAATGCTTGTTCGTGTTCTGGATCAAATTCGAGAGCCTTGTCAAGATACGCCAGAGCTTGAGATGCTTTTCCTTGTTCAAGAAATACGACTCCAAGCTTTAAAAATTCAAGTATCATCACATTAATACCTCATCGCTGTAAAGCATTGGTAATACATATCCTATAATTTTAATCTTGATATTTACGTTGTAATAAATGTCTGGATTGTTACTGTCGTAGAAAAGTGCCCGTTCGTAAACTTCCTGCGCTTCTTTGGTACGATTAAGTTTAATTAAAACATCGCCCCGATTAATATATGCTTGTGTGTAATCGGCGCGCATACTAATGGCTTGCCTATAAAGCAGATCAGCTTCTTCTAACCTAGTTGCATTCTTTGCTATTAGGTTTGCTAAATTTACAAAAACATTCAAATGATTCGGAGCTATTCGCGCTTGGTAAGATTCTCCCGGTTTCGCTTTCGGTAGTAAAGATTTTGCCTGAAAGAAAGGTTATTAGACAAGTGATTTTTTAAGTGCATCACCTCAACAAAGCACATTTACCTTCAAATACGCGTCTTCGGCTTCTTTAAACATTTTCAAATGGTTGTAAGTCCTACCCACGTTGATGTGCGCACCAATGTCATCGCCTTGAACTTGCACAGCCATATTAAAAAAATTTAACGCTTCCTTAAATTTCCCTTGACTTTCCAAAGCGTGTCCAACGTTGTTGAATAATTTGGCGTTGCGGTCGTTCACTTTTAATCCCGACATGAATATGGAATATTCATCCAGCCAATCGTAATTCCTGATGAAAGTTTTCGTTGTGTGCGCAGCCAAAAGAGTTATTAATAAAAATAGTGTTAATTTCTTAAATCTGTAAGCGCAAAAAGTGAGAATTAGAGATATGTTTTGAAAGGATTTTGAATACTCAACGGTATTTACTTTTTATCGCATAGAATGCTCCACCCATATCCGATAAGCATACAAAATCCCATAGATGGGGCGTACAATACTCTTTCGGCAATGACGAATCCAACTGGGAAGAAGAGATTTGAGGCAGGTAAAAATGGGAGTATCATCATAGCCAAGCTCTATATAAACATTCAATAATATCATTTTCTTTTTTTTTAGAAATAATACTTTTAGTTTACGTTAGTACAACAATGATTATACTAACCATTATAAGAATAATGGAAGTTTGTCTATTAGGTGTTAAAATTGCTGTTATCAACAATCCTAATATGGTCGTATGAGTCGCTATAGTAGCCAGATTGCGAGGATCTGTAAAACTTTCTATCAATGGTATCGTTCCCATAGTCCAATCACAGCATAAATCGCTTGGAAGAAATAGCAGCCTCAGATTAACTGCTGCGAGGTAATTATAGGTAAGCTGCCTTATTGGCGTTGGGGCCACAGATGCAGGATTGTCAAATCTAAAATACCATTAGAATATTAGAATATCATAGATTTTCTGCTGTTAAAATCTGGTATATTATTCCATAGATACCTGGTAAATACAGGTAACTTTGAGCCCATTACATGTAGCCGAAGAATAAGTAAACTAAATGTGACAAGCGTAAGGACTGTCAGTCGTTTTGTACCTTCACTGGACCAAGTGAGCGATATCTTTTTCCCACCAAAAGCTGCCTTTAACGTCAAGAAGATATCCATTGCTCTTACCTAACCAGGTGGTAAAATATACAAGTTGAAGTAATTGTTTAATATTAACAACTATAATTTCACATGTAAATTCACCTTTTGTACAACAAAAATCTCATAGAATACACAAACTGCAGTAGCTGTTATTCCTTGTTCTTTGCACAACATGGCAGTGAAAACAAAAGACATAGATAATATCAAAGATTTCCAACCTAAAAAAAAGATTTGATATGACATTAGTACTTATTTGAATGAATGGTAAAATACAGTAATGACATTATGAGGGATAGAAAAAAAGATAGTAAACATTTTTACCTGTAGACCTTCTACTTCTGCAGCATTTAGTATACATGATTAAAGCCGCTAAATAAAATAAAGAGGACAATGTTTCTGCTCTTCCGACCACTCCTGTAACCTTAATACACGATTATCCACTGACAATGCATCTAAACACGAACTAGGAACTACGACGCGATCGATCGCTCGACGTCGACCCTTTGAATCTGGACACAGTATTGATACATTGTCGCCGAAGGGAAGAACAAGGACTAGAAATAATTCATCAAATAATATTCTCATGTAATTTCAAGGTAACGTCGATCGATTCGATCGATATAGAAAGCAGAGTCTAAACAACTTACTGCTTCTGTATGTATAGGATGAACCGCAAACAGAAGGGAAGATACAAAAGTTGCAGAATCAGATAGAAACATCAAGCAAGTCCTGCAATGGTGATTAAGACATATTTTATATTAATATCTAATTGCTTTATAAAGTGCATAAAGGTTTCAATGATATACATATATATATATATAAACAATTCTAAATTATTAATGTCACATGTCACATTTCTTTGGTATTTAATTTTCAATTCGTTAAATGGCTATACATACTGGTTAAATCAACTATAGTGTTTAATTAAGGAAGGAATGTTTGTCTAAAAAGGCACACCTGAAATATAATAAGCATACTCCAACATGTAGAATAACATTAAGCAAGTGATATCCCATAGGATCCAACTGGTGAATCAGGTAATTCCATCGAAATGTGAGAACGCACAAAGGCCTGTACGATTTGTGCGACTGCTCCTATTTGAAAAAAAATGCAATTCTTTTTCAATATTTTGTTTGTATAAATTAATTTCATACAACTACATAAATGTAGAACAAAGTATTTCAATCATAGATTTCATAGGATCGTACAGTGAAATGAAAAAAAAACTTACTTTCTGCATTTGTGGAATAAGAATTTAATTTAAAAAAAGAGAAAAGAGAAAGAAGGGAAAACGTCGTTTTTCGTTGAAACAATTACGGCAAAACAACAAAGTCGTTTACGATCAGAAGTAAAATCAATCGGAAAAAAAAAACAAAGGAATATCTATCCATATGTAAGAAACACAAAGAATTCAGAGTGAAGCTAAAAATTGATTCGAATCGAACCGAATCGAAAGGGAAGGAAAAGGAGGCGAAGAGTTGAACGGATCAATACACAAGAAGGTACATACAAGAGCGAATGGGGTGGGGAAGGGGGAGGGGGAATTGAAAGCACCTCTCTCATATTCACCCACCTTGTGCATAGGAGTGCCCCAGAAATCATTGTAAAAAACGTTTTTCAACGGTGTATGAGGCCTCAAGTCACGATTATCTTTTATCGCTGAAATGTCATCGAAAACGAAGCCGCAATTAAGGCTGTTCAAATAGACGGCGAACGCGCTTATGGCGACAATCGCCGCGAGTGCTCCCCGCGCAGGCACTCCCATCACAAATAAAACATTGATCGGCCGTATTTTTTCCTCGCGATCCCCGACTTGGAAAAATCTAAAATCCGGAACCTTCCTTCGATTTTTCCGACGACTTGGTTTGCCTTCCTCTGGCTACACCTTTTGCCCCCTCTAACTATTTACGCTATCTATCTAACTAGCTACGCTGTCTGTCGAGCCGAGAGGTTTAACCCCGCGATGTCCAGAGGAGACGCAGGAATCTCGTCTCTAGGCACGTGAACGTCGATACATTCCTCTTCGAACACATTATGAACGCTTTACGTATCCAGTATCGCAAGATACGAGCGGGCTTTCTCACAGACCGATCCTCCAAGTTCGATGAGAGGCATGTCAATGGCAAGCGAGCCTCGAACGTTCTCGAAGAGAAGGAAAGGTTAACACCGGAGTGGACAGAATCCCGGCGATATCGGGATCGTGGATTACAGATGCGCGCGTTAAAATTGAACTGTCAAACGAGAGATGTGTATACGCTTTGTACAGCTACGATGCACGCTACGTCGCGAAACGAGTACAACGCAAGTACGATGTTACGACGGCGACGACGCGGATTTACTTTAGGAGGAGCGCGCATGCGTAGTACACGACGAAGCGCGAACTCACCACCGTGCACGACTTTGCCGGTGTGCGATTCAAAATATTTTTATTCGATTCCGAATATCCTTTCCTCTCCTTATTAATGGTGATTGTACTGTTTTTACTTTTTCTTTTGCGGTAAACAATTGGCTTTCGACAAGCCCACAAGTTCTTTCAACTAGCATTTTTCGTTGAATTGTCGTCATAGAAAATCGTATGTTTGGTTAACCTAACTTATGTGCCGGCACACGATTCAGATCACCGTGCTATATATAATTGTTAAACAACTGGATGTTCAGCGAAGTACAATATTCATTACAATATTTAACAGTTGAAGACGCTTAGGTTCCGTTTTAATTTACTTTGCAACATTTGGTTGTAAAAAAATAACTTCAACATCTAAGGCCTAGATGGAAGTAAAAACACTAATGATAAGAATAACGATGAGATTCTTGAAGTTTCATGTCACAATTGCAGGATAAATTTAAGAGAATTTAACAACGCAAATTGACTCGGAGGAAATGATATGTTTACAAATGAAATGTTTTCTGCAAGGCGACGGTTGATTCTTACTGGGTGAATTTCCTTTATCTATATTACACAAGTAATTGTGTCTTTTATTTATTCTACATTTGTTTATTTTACAGAAGCAAGCAGAGCTGTTAGATCGTGCAACGATATTGTAACAGGTAGAAAGAGGGAAAAAAGGAGCAGGTAATGCGAGCTGTTTGAAACAAAGCGATCGCGCACAGTTAAAATCGACCAATAGTAGCGTCGCATCGCGTCAAAATCGCGGCGATGGGGGGGAACGCATCGTGAACGACTCGTAGGACGACAGTCGAGGTAGGCATGCCTTAAGCTTCGTTTGTGGTGACATTTGATCTCCGTTTGAAACAGTTTCCTCGCAAGGTGCCGGAATCAAATTTAAATATCATCGGACGATCGATGAAGTGATCGTTGCCGGTAGGATCAACGCGACCAGCTTGACATTGGCCGGCCAATCGGCAGCTTTTCAACACGGGGAAATAGCAACGTTCCCGCAAAATTCGAGTAGCGTCCCTCTCCTGGGAAGAGTGAGTATTTAAAATCTCTGGTTCT